AGGGGCTAACCGAAGCGCCCTGGGAGCCATGTTGGGTTGTCGGTGTCTTGCTCAAGGACACCACAGCCCTTTGTCCGCAGGATGGTCTTGAACCAGGCGATAATCTTATCCACTTTGTCTGTCACAGCTGTTCAACAAGCAAAGAGTGTCTCTACACATAGTACAGTACAGACAGTATTAGAATCAACGTTATTCGTCCAATATTGAGCAAATTTACATCATCTTATATACTGGTTACAGGATATTCAAGAATAAGAGGTAAGAAAAGCCATTTGACCAAACACCACTATCACACCTGCAAATTACCGTACACAGGATCAATATTCACACATTGCATTAATAGTCTTTGCTCCGCTGTAATTTTTTCTTGTATGCATTCCAGATTCTGAAAAAACAAAAAACAAAACATGTTCAAGCAACTGCTCTAACTTGAAGTAAAAATTATGAAAGTTGGGGAGTTAATGACTGAATGAAAGCATTACAGACTTCATGCAAGATAACACAAATCCCTTGTTCCAGAAGGGCAATCATAAAAAATGGGGAAAAGCAGCCCCCCTGCCACCCTTTTTTTCTTCATTCCTATCGTAGTCGAAACAGCTATGCCTCCCTGGCGCTACTGTTATGCTTGTGAGGTTACATTTAGTGTTGCCGTGCAAAGACAGCTTGCTCGGAGACTTGCTTGCTATGAGTTGCCATGGAAACATGATTACCCTCGTTCCCAATTTGCAGACCAACAGGGAAACCTGCTAAATCCTTGTATACTGTATTAAAGTGGTGTCAGATATCTGCAAGTCAGTGACTCTTTGGTCCAAAGATATTAAAGACCCGGTAAAGCACAGGTGTCAAACTTAAGGCGCGGGGGCCAGATCTGGCCCGCCACATCATTTTATGTGGCCAGAGAAAACAGATGAAACTTCCATGATACTTTCTAAAATGTCGACCAGTGTTTCAAAGTCTCATATGTAATAAACAAGAGTCTCAGCATTTTCTTGTTACCAAACCCCTCATAATAGTAACTTAAACAAGAGGTGAATCAAGTTATTCTTAACTTCTTCAGATGGTTTCAGTCATAAGGGCCCTCCAAGGGAAACGGAAACCAAAATGTGGACCGCAAAAGTAATGAGTTTGAGACCCTTGCTGTAAATAAAAATGAATGTCTTCGAAATTTGACACACCACAGAGAAAACTGTTGTTAATAATCCTGAAACGAATGATTTAAAAAAAAGACAAGTTGATAAAATGAGGCTTCAAAATCATGAAAAATCATGCCATGCTATCCGCTCCAAAAAGCTGTGGGTGCATTAGCTAAGGGGCATATTCTCCTGGTTAATTTCTTATGCACCTTTCTTGCATACTTTCGAAGCGAGGAAATTCTCCCGTCTAGGCTTCTGACACACCCACCATGCGGAACTTGGAAATATATGTGCAACCAATAAAAGAGGCAGGGTTCACGCTCCCCGTTCGCCACGTCACCAATGATGAGTTGTAATGGGGAGTTGGGGTGGGAAATATTCCCCATATTCACCACGAGGGCGAAGGGCCAATTCGTCCCTTAAAATTCACCTCACAAGCCATGGCAACAAAGTTCAAATGTATGTAAGCAAATATTGCAAATATTCCCACAATTTTCTTTGGACAGTTATGCATATGAGATTACATAATTAACACAACATTGCTTGCTAAATAAAGTTAAAAAAACTAAACAAAACAAAACAAAACACAGTTTGTCAATCTAATGACACAATGTCACCAACATGCTGGAGGCACATGTGCAGCCTAAGACCCTAAAAAAAAAAAAAAAAAAAAAAAGTCTCCGGGGCCCTTCTCAAATCTCAAAAGGTAGTTAGTCAGCCATTCTTAATTTTTTTTTTTCACATTTTTCCTCATTTTTGGCCTTTTACAGAGGTCATATTATCTCAAAATGGCTTTTAATCTACTTCATTTTGAAAAAATTCCAATTCCAATGTGGCACTGTCCCAATGTGCCCCTACCCCAACGGTGCCAGGGGAGCAAGGTCCCGTTATAGCTGCTCGCAGCTCGAGTTCTAACTTTATCCTTTGTCTACAATCAGGAAATGGCTTCACTGCTTCCACCACCGACGGGATGATTGTGGTTAAAAAATAAATAACATAAGAAAAAAAAAGAAATCTGTGCAAATGATGCAGTGACTTGTCTTTCTTGTCTTTTCTTTTCTCCGAAGTCAATTATAATAATTTTCCACATGACGCATCGGGTCTGATGCATAAATTGGGGTTGTGGAAAAAGGACAGCAAATTCAAGTTGAGTCTTCATCGGGTCTGATGCATAAATTGGGGTTGCGGAAAAAGTACAGCAAATTCAAGTTGAGTCTTCATAGCCACTCCCATCTTGCACTAGCCAGGGAGAATGTATTTAAAGGTCGTTTTTAAAGTACAGTGGTTCCCAACCTGTGCTGAATTTACATTGGAAAATTTCACTTTAGTATCACGACTAAAATAATGACAATGCCCTTCCGACTAGTTGTACTTAATGTACGGTTCAAATGATGGATAGAGATATCTGTAATTCGCTTCGGACGAGGTAGACCTGCAATGCCATTTCACCGAGGACGAATGTCATCGCTTTTGCCATTCATGGTAACTATCCAGACTCCAATATTTGCTCATGATTTATGGGTATCTCCAACGGAAATTGAGGTATCCATAACTCCAGTATCAGATACACCATTTGATTCTGACCAGTTAGAATTCCAGTTACAGATTAATTTCAACTTTGTAAAACTTAATTTAAGATTTCAATCCAGGTCCAGAAAGTTAAAACCATGCCAGAGTTAACCTCTAGCCACACATGCTTTTAATCAACTGCCAGGTAAATTACGCTTTTACTTTCTACTTTTACTTCTTATTTTGTTATCAGGGGTGGCACAGTGGAGAACTAGTAAGCATGTCCGCTTCACAGTGCAGAGGTGCAGGGTTCGAACCCGGCCCTGTCCTATGTGTGTGGAGTTTGCATGTTCTTGCTGCATCTGCGTGGGTTTTCTCCGGGTACTCGGGTTTCCTCCCACATTCTAAAAAACATGCATGCCAGGTTAATGGAACACTCTAAATTGTCCCCAGCTGTGAGTATGAGTGCAAATGGTTGTTCATCTATGTGTGCCCCTGTGATTTCAGAGTGTACCCCGCCTATCCCAAATACATTTCTGATTTATGATTTTTCACATAGCAGCAATCTGCAAATGAATTTGTAGATATCTGTATTACAGACACCATGCACATGAATGGCCAAGGTGTCATAATTTCCGATCCGCTTTATCCTCGCAAGGGTCACGGGAGGTGCTGGAGCCGATCCCAGCTGTCTTCGGGCAGTAGGTGGGGGACACCCTGAACTGTTTGCCAGCCAATTGCAGGGCACACATAGATGAACAACCATCCGCGCTCACACTCACACCTAGAGAAAATTTAGAGTGCTCCATTAACCCACCATGCATGTTTTTGGAACATGGGAGGTAAGCCAGAGCACCCGGAGAAAACCCACATTGGCATGGGGAGAACATGCAAACTCCATATATATATATTTATATATATATATATATATATATGGAGTGTGTGTGATTGTAAGAAATAATCTGAAATGTTCTTTTTGACGAGGCAAAAGTGAATTAAAGGCATTTGTGATGCATATGCAGTCTGGCTGTTACATGTGAAGAATGCTTGCCATCTATTTTCTCCCTCTGTACCTGCCTGCAGCACCGAAGGAGTATCATCATAAATGCCTCATATTCTGGTGTGGTTTAACCTGAGGTGTCTCACAAGGCATTTGTTGCCACAACTTCTTCCCAGTTTTCTGCAAATATCCGAGAACGTGTCTTGACTGTTTGAAGCTAAAATAGCTCCAGAACATTTTGTGAGAATGTAAGTAGGTAGCTGTGAGGAATGTACATATGAAAAACTGAACATAGTTTGCTCATATTATAAATCCCAAAATAAAACGCAGCTTTTTCTTTTCTTTTTTTTCCCCACACGTCGAATGTGATGAGAAGAGTGGGAAATCGCTCAGGGGGTAATCAACAAACAGCCGTTAAAAACACTGCAAGAATTACCCCTTGACTATACTGATTGTCCTTGGAGTAAACATGGAAAACTGGGAGTGAAATGATTGGTGTTCTCTGTTAACTGACAAAAAAAAAAAAAATCCTACCAGAGTCTTTCTTATTTATAACTTGATTTCTTTGAAGGAAAAGGGCACCTTTTTTTCCCCGTGTCTATTTTTCCATGATTAAGCAAGATGGAGGTGTGATTGAGAAGCGGGCTTTGCAATTACTGATAAAAGTAGTTGAGAAATACTGGGTCCCACATCTAATTTAAAATGTGTCTGCATTTCCTTTGAACCTTATTCAACAGACCCATCCACTAAATTAAATACATGCATTCCTCTCATTCTGTTTAGGAAGGAGAGGACAGAAAATCACTACTTAACATTTCTCTCCTTTCACGTTACCTTTCAAGTCAGTGATTAAAATCTCCAATGTTACAGAATTAATTAACTTTTCATTGTACTTTTCTCTTAGCTTCTAGGCAACAATATTAAAACGGTGTCATCCTTTTGTACAAATGGAGCCTTAAAATCGCTGAAAATGACATAGAGTTCCTTCGTTGCAGGTGTTTCTTCAGATACAAGGCTTTAGGAATGATAGATTGAGAGTATTGTTCCTTTACTGTTATTGATCCAATAAACATTACATGAAAAAACAATGATCTGTGATAATATAGTGTATTCTCACCTAGGCAGTCACGAGCATTAGGAAAATCAATTGGAAGTACAAAGGTAGTGTCAAACACATTTCACATGCAAAGCATGACATTGGAAACCAGATACCTGGAGCAGATTTCTGTTTGGTTTTTGTTTTGCATTGTGAAGCTCTTCTGCTGACCAAGAGCAATAATACTTGATCATTGACCAAAAAAAATACTACTTTGTCAGAGGAAGAGAAACAGTGAATGTTGAAAAACTGGTTGAAAACCATGTATGGTAGATGACTAACTTAGACCGAGTCAACAACTTGGCTGAATCCTTTTCTTTTCAAATACATCACCTCCTTGAGGCTTCGAGCGGGACATGCGTGTCGTTCTCATCCCATTTTTTTAAAGTTTTTTTTTTCTCCAGTGGTTAGCGCATCGACCTCAAATTGCAGAGGTACCGGGCTCAATCACAGCTGTGTGGAATTTGCATGATCTCCCAAGGCCTGCGTGGGTTTTCTCCGGGTACTCCGGTTTTCATTCCAAAAACATGCATGGCAGGCTGATTGAACACTATAAATTGTCCCTCAGTGTGACTGTGAGCGTGGATGGTTGTTCGTCTCTGCTCGGCAACCGGTTCAGGGTGTTCCCCGCCTACTGCCCGAAGACAGCTGGGATAAGCTCCTTGTGAGCAAACTGCAACTGCCCTTCAAGTCCTTGGAGGAGGAATTCAAGGTATCGAGAGCCAGAGAAGTGGTTCAGTACAGGGACTCAAGTGATCCGATGGTGGCTAAAGCAGGGATCCAAGTGAGGACTGGCAGGAATTGGAAGGCAGAGGAAGCAGTTCAAGAGGCAGATGCAAGGCTGCGTCACAGGAGCCTGGTGGGAGTGGTCACACGAGGTCGAGCTGGGCTAGGATCTTTTCCAACCCCCCAAATGAACACCAAGGGGAAGGAAGGGCGACATCTTGTTCAGGAGGAGGTGAGAGCAGCAGTGGAGGAGACGAGAACCTGCAAGGCAGTGGGAATGAAGCAACAGGGAGCTTGGACGAGATGGGAGAATGCGGTTGAGAGGAAAGTGACCTGGGCTGAGCTCTGGAAAGCCGAGCCTCAACGCATAAAATTCCTTATCCGGGCAGTGTATGATGTGCTGCCAAGCCCGTCAAACCTGTACACATGGGGCATAGCAGAGACACCAGCATGCCCATTGTGTTCCAAGCGAGGAACCCTGGAACACATCCTCAGTTGCTGTACAAGGGCACTTGGAGATGGACGGTACAGGTGGAGGCATGACCAAGTCCTTAAGACCATCGCTGAAGCTATCAGCACAGGACTTGAGTGGGCAAAGCAGTTCCGACCCTCCAAGAAAACCATTGCCTTTGTCAGAGCTGGGGACACGGCAACTCCTGCCAGAAGAACATCCTCTGCAGGCATTCTGACGTCTGCAAGAGACTGGCAGTTGTTGGTGGACCTTGAACATCAGCTGAAGTTCCCCAGCCATATTGCAGTCACCACTCTGCGACCAGACATTGTCCTTGTGTCTGAGTCCACCAAGCAAGCTGTCCTGCTGGAGCTGACAGTTCCGTGGGAAGATCGCTTGGAAGAGGCCTTTGAGAGGAAACTCTCCAAGTACGCAGGACTGGTCAGCAATTGTCAGCAGGCTGGTTGGAGAGCAAGGTGTTTCCCCGTGGAAGTTGGATGCAGAGGATTTGCAGCCCGTTCTTTGGCCAGAGCCTTCAGCAGTTTCGGCATCGAGGGAGAGAGAAAGAGGAGAGCCATACGCAGTATCACTGATGCGGCTGAGAGAGCCTCAAGATGGCTGTGGCTCAAAAGAGGGGAGCCATGGAGTCATGGTAGCTAGTTAGCCATCTGGACACAAGCTGGGGTCTGATCAGCCCTGGTTGGGTCACCTGGGGGAGGGCGTATGATGTTGAGAGACCCGAAACGCCCTATGATCTCAGGAATACATCACTGATGATGTGTCCAGATAGGCATCAGTAGATGTATGTACACAGTATATATATATATATATATATACACACACGTTATATATGCGGCCCGGTGGTCAACTGGTTCGTCAGCCAGTGCAGAGGTGCAGGGTTCAATTCTGGCTCCGGCCTTCCTGAGTGGAGTTTGCATGTTCTCCCCATGCCTGTGTGGGTTTTCTCCAGGTTACCTCCAAAAAGAAAAAGAAAAAAAACAAAAACAAACAAAAAAAACAAAAACTTACTTAAGGTCTGTGTAACCCTGTTTGTTATTGTGGAGCGAAAATCTGTTTGACTCTGCTCTGTATTAAAAAAACAATCAACATGCAACCTGACTTTTGTGAGCTTGTTTACTTTCTGAACACAAGAGGATTTACAGAACACAATGTTCGAGTTATCCGATGTGGCTAATGTACTCATAGCAAGTGCACAACCATCCCCAACTCAACTCAGGCAGTGATGCTGAGCTAACCGTGATGCTTTTTTTGATCTCTCTGACCACGCAGGCATGTGAAGACTGTGTCATCATGTTGGCCAGACATTTCACTGTTCTAAGCAGAACGCCTGATTATTTTGTAGCGAAATGAGGCCACAAAAATATCAACGAGGGCTGCATGATTTTGGTAAAACATGATGATGTGATGTTCATGTTGAATATAGCAATATCGATATTATAGCGATATATTTAACATGTACCTCAATGAATTATTATCTAGAGATGTTTTTTTCTTGCAGCAAAATAAGCAAGCTCAATACAGTCTTAGCTGATTACTTGTAATGCTCCTGGAATTTGTTCACCTATTGAATGGAGATGTGCATGGAAGGTTGCATTTGACTGGTGAAATTCAGATAAAAACAGAGAATACCATATGAAACTTATTGCACGTCTTTGAGATATCCAAATCGCATGGGCCATTTGCTCGATTCATGATATTTTTTCGATATGTTGTGCAGCTCTAATATATTGACACTCTTAATACAGGGTGACCCAAAAAGATGCGTACCCATATTTTCTTCGATAAAAAATCAATTTTTTAACGAATGTCTTTTCTGTTGCAGGACGTGAAAGGTGAACCTATGGATGATCGGTTTCAGCTATAGTTGCCCCAAAAATGTCTTGGACAAATCAGCAGAAGATATTCTCCCTGGAGATCTATTTTGCGACAAAATCACACCAGAGTGTACAGATTCAGTTTCGAAAACGTTTCCATTGTCGCAACTTTCCACCAAAATCAACGATTGTTAGTTGGGTTACGAAGTTCAGAGAGCATGGGACTGTAGTGAACTTATGTTCTAAAGCCACAGGGGGAACTTATTCAGGCAGGAAAAAGAGTGCAAGGACAGAAGAAAACATTGCTGCAGTGAGGGGTTCTGTGGGGTTTCCTCAAAGACAATGTATACCAGGGAAATCCACAAACAATTGAGGAACTGAAAACTGCCATCACAGCAAAAATAAGAGCCATCCCGAAAGAGGAGTGTGTAAAAGTGATTGACAACTTTGTCAGACGAGTACAGGTTTGCTTGCAACGGAATGGTGGACATTTGGAACACATCTTGGGAAAGCCATAAATTGACTAAAAATTGACAGAAATAGCTGAAACTCTGGTGAATGGTCTTCCATAAACTGAATAATGTGTGGTTGTAATTTGAAATAAATAGCTTTTTAATCAAAGTCACAATTGAAATTTTCATGGGTACGCATCTTTTTGGGTCACCCTGTACCATGAATATTGTGACATCTCTAATTATCTTTTTTTTTTTTCCATTAACAGCATCTGGTAGACCAGACATAATTGGTGACAGTCCAATTTTTGCCTCCTAGTTGTCCACCAGGGTCATAAAGTAACAAAAAGCAGTCTTGTACTGTAAGGATAAATACTCACCACTGTTAATTTGAGTTTTTTTGGGGTGATAATTTGAGTTTTTTTTTTCAATCTAAAACACTGGTGTACATTTCAAACACATACTGTATCTATTAAATCAGCCAAACCGCAGTTTAAGTTAAATTTTGTCGCACTCTTGTCATAGACTTGTATGAGAAATTCACGAAACAGCCATTAAACATCAAAACAAAAATGAGAAAATTATTTTGGGTGGTACCTCAAAGCAGTAGGCACTTTGACACTAATATAATAACCTGGAGTGTTCACTAAGTTGTCTCCATCACTAGTCTTAACCACATCAATTCATCCAACAGTTCCGTAATCACAATCATTTGACACTTGGCACATTGGGTCACTCCTCGCTCCACTTTAGCATTTAAGAAAGAGAGAAATGATCTAATTGACTATGGCCATTTTCATTTTTCCGACATCTTGAATGTCTGTTAGATTACCGTCATCCATTAACCAGCTTTTTCCCCCTTGTCCATTATGTTAAATGTAGACTGTCATGTCCCTGTCATTGGGAATGCACTAATGGACCGTCATTTTGGGTACTCTCAACTCATACAACCTTGGAAAGAGCAAAAGTGATCTGGCATGTTCTGTCAGTCAGACTTTAAAAGGAGCACAGTGGATTGCTTTTGAGGAGATTTGTATGCAGCCATATTGACTCTGAATTCCAAGGCAATTCAAATGACTTAGTGTCAATAAACTATGTACCGCTTGGGCTCTGGTACCTGTCCTCTCGAGAGGGGTTGGACACTCTTCCACTCTGGAGTTGCTCAAGGGGAGAGGCGCCGAGCAGGATTGGGCATCCTTATTACCCCCGGCTTGGTGCCTTTATGTTGGGGTTCACCCCGGTTACCGAGAGGGTAGCCTCCCTCAGCCTTTGGGTGGGGGACAGGTCCTCAATATTGTTTGTGCCGATGCACCAAACAGCAGTTCAGAGTACAAACCCTTTTTGAAGTCCTTGGAGGGTGTGCTGGAGAGCGCTCCCCCTGGGGACTCCATAGTTCTGCAAGGAGCTCACATGGACAATGATAGTGAGACCTGTCCGAATTAATTTTAGCCAGGGAGAATGTATTTAAATAATTAATTTTATTCATGATATTGCACACCTGCGTGGGTTTTCTCCTTGTACTCCGGGTTCCTCCCACAATCCAAAAACATGCATGGCAGGTTGATTTGACACTCTAAATTGTCCCTAGGTGTGAGTGTGAGCGTGGATGGTTGTTCTCTGTGTGCCCTGCGATTGGCTGGCAATCGGTTCAGGGTGTCCCCCGCCTACTGCCCGAAGACAGCTGGGATAAGCTCCAGCATGCCCCGCGACCCTTGAGATCAGAAAATGGATGGATGGATGATATTGCATACTTATTACTGTATATCCATACAGTATATAAAATGTTACTTCTGCAATTAACCCAATACAGTCGTAATGCTGGTGCAGGTGACTTATTGAGCATTTTCAGAGACAACAGGGGTCCCCATGTTGGTAGCAGCCTCTGTTTTTAACCGCTGCCTCATTGCTCCCCTCTGCTTTGTTAATCGGATTGGTTCATAGTAGATACGAAATAGAGAGAAATTTCTATCATGGTCCCAGATGGACCTTTCTTTGTGAAACAAAGCATCTGGTACCTCCACTTACTGTGTTGGCAGGTGTACATGAAATTTCAGTCTGAACTGTTGTCATGGCAACAACCTGAAAGAAACAAAACATCTGCCATGTTACCATGGTAATTGATTCCATCAAGCCCTACTCTGTTAAGTGCAGGTAGATCTGTGCAAAATGAAGTACTGGTATGTGTGCCGCTCATACACACACTTAATAATCACATGCATTCATAGACCAAAATTCACGGAGACATTAAATGAACAGTGCGTAATTTCTTCATTGAGTCCAAATCTTATATCTTGCTTTTTTGGTGTGCATTAATATTCCTGTACATGGTGTGAGGAAGTCCCAATGTGTTCAGATTTTGTTTTGTCAAAAAGATAAGGCTGTACACACGCAACATACCAGTATTATTTTTTAAATAGAATCTGTGAGGGCGGCACGATGGTCGACTGATTAGCATGCTCACAGTGCAGAGATGCAGGGTTCGATTCCGGGCCACAGCCTTCCTGTGTGGAGATTGCATATTCTCCCCTTGCCTGTGTGGGTTTTCTCTGGGTGCTCCGGTTTCCTCCCACATACCCAAAACATGCATGGCAGGTTAACGGAACACTCTAAATTGTCCCTAGGTGTGAATGTGAGTGCAGATGGTTGTTTGTCTACGTGTGCCTTACGATTGACTAGCAAGCAGTTCAGGGTGTCCTCCGCCGACTGGCAGAAGACAGCATGCCCGCAACTTTCATGGGAATAAGCGGATTAGAAAATGGGTGGATATCTCTCTCTCATACAACATTATTCAAGATCAAGACTTGCCCCAGACCAGAACTCATCTCTACCAAGACAAGTCTAAAACCTTTCAGAGTCAAGACCAAGCGAAACCAAGCTCAGTTAAAAGGCTGCGGACAAGCTGAGGACATGAGAAGAGCAAGACCACAGGAATCAATTAAAAAAAAAATAATAAAAAAAAAACACAAGACCAACACAGGGAACATTCAAGGAAAACTAGAGTAACAATATTCAAAGTACTTGTGCTTTTTCGTGACTTTTTCATGCACACTTATAACTAACCATTCCTTCCCCTTGGCGCAATGTTCTTTTCACAGTTGCACTTTGTGCATGTGGAGATAAGCCTGGCCTGCTTTTTTTTTTTGGATAAACACGGCTGGAGTACTTTGCATGTGGCTATCTGTGAAGCAGCTGTGTATGAAAGCTTTGCGTATGATGTAAGCCATATTCAAACATACAGGGGGATTACATCTATTCCTCTAGTGCTATGGAAGCGTCCCGTTGAGCCCAAGGGCTTATTTAACACAGGTATACACCGACACCTATGTATGCAACAGAATCAACCAAGTTAAATAAGGGAACCATCAGATTTGAAAACGTGAGAGAAGT